CAGTAATGGAACCAAATGCAGTGCAGCTAATTCATAAGAAAATATAACATTACTCAGTTAAAGAGGGGGAATTAAATAAGTTAGGTGGACAAAAAACTTTTCTTTATTAAACCAGAATATGATAGGAAGGAAGAAAAGTGGTACAACAGGATTTAGCCATGATTCAAGATACAAAAACACGGACTTACTGAAAAAGATTATAAGATTTTTAAAATGTACTGCTGTACTGGCAGGCATTTCAACAGTTAATACTGAGGGTCATTTCTGGATCATTGCTAATAAAGCTCTGTTACCACATATGCCTTTCAGCTCCTTGCTTCTGCCTGACACCATAACAAAACCCATTACAGTTCTATTGACAAGCAAGCACCCATTTATAGAAGAAGCACATTGCATATTTTGGGCAGAGTATACAAGATGATTCTACCCAGCCGCAATATATTCTTATTCTAAGTCTAGAATCTTTTACCTGGAAAATTGGATTTGAAAAGGGGTTTTTGGGGGGGCCAAATGGTCATCTTTTTTCAGCTTTAGTAGGAAACAAAATATTACACTTAAAAGCTTGAGGCAAATCTTTTTGTTTTATTGGAACTAGTTAACGGAATACAGAGTATTAAAATGGCTAGATTTAATACTTATTATACACCAGCTGCTCCTTCCAGGTTTACAAAAAGTTGTAATCTTGGTGCCAAACATAATTTATAAGACATTTTCAGCAAGACACAGCTTATCCTCACCCCATTTTTCTCCCTCATCCCCCTCAATTCCTTTAAAGCCACGATCCTGCAAACAAATGCACCAATGCAAATCTTTACATCCAAAGAGAATCCTATTTAAGGCAATGGGATTCTGCAAGAAAAAACATGAAAGTCTAGAGCAGTAATTTATTTGCAGGGTCAGTGCATAATGCAGTTGAATTTTAAAAAAAAAAATCTAAAGAATTTTATTGTGTATTTTTCACCAACTTCAAGCTCACATTTCCTATCACCTATCAAACATTTACTACTAATGTCTTAAGAATAATCCAAGATTGCTGGTTATATTTCAGTACTAGTATTATTTAAGGCCATAGATCCACAGAGTCTTCCATTTGCAAAGAACAAATATTTGATTTTAGGTTTAAAGCATATTGAGAAAAAGAATCTTAGCCCTTCAAGTAAAGTTCCTGCACATTCATCTTACATTCGTCTGTTCCCAAAACAGAAAGTTTCTATGAGGTAACAGTAATTTGTTAATTAGACTTCATGGGTAGAGAATTTATTTTTAATTGCTTTCCTTGATTTCCACTTGAAATATATTTTGTTTCCTTCCACTACCTGCGATGTATTTGCTTTCTCTATCTGTCCAAGTGTGCATATATGTATGCCTATATACACCAATATGCTCTTTTTTGCTCTATTTGAGTTGTGCGCCTTTGTCTAAACGAGCTGTTCTAGAATTTGGACATTTTCTAGTTAAAATTTTGTGTTACTACAAAAGTAGATTGGATTTTTTTGAGGGAGGGAGGCAGGAAGTTCACAACAGTTTCTCTGGTGCATAAATATACAATCACCAACTTTTCAAAGTTACAAAGCTGTTATTTTCCAAGACAAGCGTTTTTCTATTTCTGCTATTCATTGTGAAATATTCTCCAACATAGCAAAATGACTAAATTAACAACAGAAGTAAATGGTTGAGTGAACATGGGGGGACGGAAAGGGAGAAGTGTCCCGACCATCTATTTTCATCCTGAAATGCATTCATCCTTAGTTGAATGGTTATCTTCCTAATGTACTTTGTATGGATAAAACATTACAGAATCTAACACAAACTCTCATTAAAATTTTTGTTTTATGGAGGAGAAAAAAAATTGTTTCCAAATTTCATGTTCCAATTTCTGAAAACAGTATCATGGGGAAAATAATTCTAGGTCACCTTGAGAATACACTATCAATGATCTACAGAATTTAATCAAGTAGTCAATTACTTGACTCTCACAGGCCAACGCATCTTTCAACTCTTTTCTTGGAGGACACTTACATCGCCATATTTAGCTTTCTTTTTACTAAACTTCCTATAATTCAGAAGACAATTTAGACTCCCATATGGTTACTATCAAAACTAACAGATGCCTAGCAAATTAAAACACAAATTATGACTTGTAATACGCTGATGTATCATCATCCCACTACATCTTGCAATTTACAGTGAATCATAAGAAAAAAACAGGCTTCTGTTTGATGTGCTAAAGCCATGGTGTCCAATCAGATCTGAAGCAGCAGCCACTATACCCAACTAACCATACTCAACCAGTCAAATAGCCACATGTGGCTAGTATGTTGGACACCATGGTGCTAACATTTTCTGTAACTCTTCTCTGCTAGTTTAGAGCCCAAAACCTGGAGTATGGTCCAAATTCTGCCCTGACACACACACATGCAGTTTCCGTTCAATGCAACAAAAAGACTTACTTGCAGAGGGGAAAGCCAGCCTTGTGCCTTTTTGGCTTCATTCTAATATATAAAGAAGGCCTGAAAGATTTTTTGATCATTAAAAAAAATAAGAACTATTTTTCTTCCCTTTTGATTTTTATGTTTAGAATTCAGGTCCCTCCTAGGCTGGAAGACACTGGTTTTACCTAGAGTAGGATTTGAAAGTATTTAGAAAGTAACATTCACTCTAAAAGTGTAGTGCAGAAAAGGCAGCACATATCTTAACTAACACACGCACTAAACTGGTCAAGTTAGAACCTGGGGCAGTATTCTAGCGAACAAGAGTCTGGAAAGGGAAAGCTGAGCAACAGACCAACTATCCCTTTCCCCTATTTAAGTTTTAATTTGGTTAATATTTTATTTCCGTGTTCATATAACAAATTGGAGAAAGCACATTTGTTAGTTTTAAACATCCCTGTCTCTTCTATTGCAAGCTCACATAATACGTTCTCCAAGACTTCAAAGTCTTTTTTTGCAGAAGGATTACTGGGGCATTCCCAATGCTCACATCTTACCTCAGAAGTAAGGGAAAAAAGCAACCTATCTTTATGATGTATAAAGCACTCTCCTTTCTCTTCCCTGATGCCTAAAAAAGAGGGGACAGGAAACAACCATGAATTTTATAAAATCCTTTGCTGGTCACCTTGAACATATTACATTTAATGTCTAACTCTGGATTGTCAAAAAATGTTAACCTAAAATGACAAATGTATCTAAAGTTGTGGTTTATTCTGCATGTAAACACAAAGCAACTTTCTGTTCTGTTCCCACCCCATTCCTACACAGGTCCACTAAAGTATATGTAGTTGGATGTATTAACAGAGTGTAGAATTTGGGACATGTTATCTGAGATAATAAAAGATTAAGAAGTGTCTTCTGAGAGGCACAATTATGCCTTTCAAAACACAACTTCCACTAACTGAATACAAATCTGTTGTAGCTGTTGGGTTCTGGCTTGTTTGGGTTTTTTAATTTCATGTAAAATACAAAACTGAAAAGAGGAATTAGATTATTAGCCTTCATTCCAAACATTAGAGGTGTGAATTATGTACATTTTGTTCTACACTATAAAGTGCAGATGGTATGTATCTTTCGATTACTGTAATTTAAATGCCTATACAACACTTCTCTGTCGAAGGCTCTATCACTTTTCATTGTTAGAAATGGTGCTGCTTCCTTCTATTTCAGTTCACTCAATTTTTACTTTGCTATTTTATGATGCAGAAATGGAAAATTTCAGTTTTCTGTGTTTTTTTCAATATTGATACACACAGTACACTTTGGGTCTTTGATAGGGGTTTCTGGAAAGGTACAACATTCTTTTGAACGGCTTATGCAAGATATTTGAAGGAGACAATGTTTCAAATAATAACGTTCTCAGCAAATGCTCTGAGCTTTCTTAAAACAACTAAAGATGCCATAATCTTCAATTACTGCTCTCCTTGCATAACCAACTAAACTTATTTTTTTCTTTTACATGAGCTCTGGCTCAGATGAGTGACTGAATACTGAGCAGTTTGCAATCCAGTCAAGAAAACTACATTAAACATCCTCTGGAAGATGGCTGACTATTACTGGAACTAGGGTACATGTAGCCTCTCTTCACAGAAAGACGGTATTGTTTGGAGGAAGTAACTAATCAAGACAAAAATACACAACTCGGCTATAGATGAAAAGTGTATTACATCTCAAAGAGTTTTGTAAAGGAAGGCAAGTATCATTAATTGTACTTTGTAAGAAAATTTAAATATTGAGGCCACTCAACAAGCCAACAGCAGAGTTGGGAATAAACTCCTGATTCCCAGTCCAGCAGCCTCTTCACTGCTTGGAACCATCCAACAACCTTCCTTCTGAAATCTGGGATCCATCAACTGAATTAAAACAAAGAGATCAGTGGCACATTAAAGATAAACATATTTATTAGGGTATAAACTTTCATAAAATACAAGTAACTCACTACATAAGAAAATGACACTGATCCAACTGCCACTGTCCATGTACTTAGAATAAGGGGAGCATAGTTAAACAGGGAAAAGCATAGTATAACACTCATTAACAACTGGTTGGCCAACATGAACACCACTTATCTTCTATACGTAATGTGTTAGGGTATCAAAAAAATTTCTCTTCTCCCCTTTATCCTGAGATCTGCAGAAACAGTGCACAAGTATTCTGCAAACATAAACCCTTCCATTTCTTTCTGGAAAACATCTATGATCATTGCATGACATTCACAGAGGAATTAAACACACACACCCCTTAAAACTGGAGCAAACAAAATAAGTGACATGCTGTTGCAAGACACCACATGAAAGTACCATGTATGACAGGAGGGAAGAAAGAGATAAATACACATTAATATAAAATGTGAAAACTATGTTAAGATGATAAAAATGAAGTCTACGTTTATTTTTTGTTTGTTCGAAATAACCACTTCAAAAAACTATGAGTTTCCGGAGATCTTTTCTAGGACCACCATCTTTACTTTGAAGGAAAAGAGACATCACATCATCACTAAATACTTATCACCTGGTCCTTATCTATTTTTTCCATGAGTGCTGAAGGTAATCAGAAGCTCTGTACCAGTAGTGAGAAGAGGAGGGACCAGTAACAGTAACAGTTTTCCCCATCTGTAATAATGGAGATCAGATTTTTTGTTACCAACCTTTTAAATTCCCAAGACCTGCATTCTGAATCTGTGTTCACACAAGCTTTCATAGTCTCCCCAGAGCACACCCCAGGCTCCTCTGTTAAATAAATCTATCTTCATCATTGCTACCTGGTATAAATTATAGGGAGGTGTGCTTTATTAATACAAGACCCCTCTTCCTGCTATAATGGACTATGTACACACACAGGCATAGATGAGAACATATTGTATAGCTTCCAATAACATATAAACCCATATGCTGTACTGAGCCTAATTTTGGATTATGCTCTGTAAAATGCTCATCTCATTCAACCAGGCATGTGAAAAACATGCTAGAAATATTCTTTTATGCATGTTACACTGCAACGTTCAGCTCGGACTCCTCCATACACAATGCTACAGCTGGTGCTCACAGAGTACAGTGCAACCAAAACAAGACCAGCCACACAGCCGCTGTCAAGCAAATGCTCCACCAAACCACGGTAAGAGCCTGTGCTTTAGGGGAATTGGGGTAATACAGTTTCCGCCTTTGCATTATTAGTAATAAACAGCGCTATTCGATCACAGCATAGCCACTGCATAGGCAGAGGAGGCACCATGTAATAATCACCCCTCCCAGCTGCATTCCCCCTAGAACTGGATCTAGGCTGGTCTTTGGGGACCCTACAACAGCCCATGCAGCCCAACTCCTTCTCCAGGCCTGGGTGGCTCTACCTCTCCCCTGACAAAAGGGGAGGGGAGGGGAGGGCCACTCTCCACACCTACAACAAAAGCAATTAAGAGGGGAGGAGGAGGGAAGCGGGAGAAATCATTGTTGCAGGCGGAATCCGGCGAGGGGGAGGGCTGGAGTTGGCTTACCGGGGAGGAGATGAGCGCAGACCTACCCCCGCCAGGCTCCGCGCCCCTCTCCCGCGCGGCGTTTTCCGCGGCACTCACCCAGAAAATGACATTGAAGCCGAAGATGAAATACTTGATGCAGCAGCTGACTTCGGGCCCTTTGTAGTGCTTCCCGGACATCCTCCGGGCTCATGAAGGCGCTTTCCCGGCAGCCCGAGGGGACGAGCTCCGGCGGCAGCGCGCAAGGGAGGCGAGCGGCTGCAGCAGGCGCGGGCT